CCCCTGCAGAGCGCCTCACTGTCTGACAGTCTCAGTGGAGACAGGAGAGGAGCCCCCCTGGCCGCTTTCAGAACCACCGGGGAAGCTGTTTTAAAATAAAGGTGCCCAGACCCCCCCCCCCAACATCCAGGGCGCGGGAAGCAGGGACGGGGCTGGTGCTTTAATCCGGGAGACCCTGATGGAGCGTTACATCGGCCAGACGGGGGGACGTCAGACAACACTCCCCTCCGAACCCACAGGAAGTATTCGCACCGAATACACGAGAACTCGAGGCAATCAGCCGGCCTTCCATCCAACAAATCAGAGCCGCACGCGCCTCCCCAACCGCAGACATGACCTCAGGCCCGAGAGGCCGCGGGGGCCACGTCCTGGACTGGGGAGCAGGACACGCACATTCCCGTCCCCGGCGACGGAGACGGACACGGACACGGACACGCTGCCCTCCTCTGTCCTCGATCGCCGTCAGGAATGTGCAGGAGGTGAGGCTCCAAGGACACTTCAGGGTCAAGTTCTGTGAGTCACATACACACCAGAGGGGGCTGGTGGCAGCCGGGCCCGGGCCTGAGCCCGGAGGTGAGAGTGAGCATCGTGCACACGGGAGGGAGCCTGCTTCCGGCCGCCGGGGACTGTTCAAGCCCTGCTGACACCTGGGCGTGTGGCTCCGGCGTCGAAGGCGGGGAGCGTCTGTGACTAAGGACAGGCTGGGCACGCAGGCCCGGCCCCCTCACCTGGCGGCGGGCACCCGTTTCCCGCGTCTCCACTTCTTCACCAGCTGGGCCTCCAGGGAAGATGGGCTCATGTCAAGGACAAGCTTTGTGAACCTCAAAAAAACACAAGAAAGCTGGTCTGATTCGGGTGATGGCAGTTGGGGGGGGGGGCCTGCTGACCGGAGCCTCGCTGCAGGGGTGGCCCTGGGCGAGGGCGGGGCTTTAGGCTCGGCTCTGACCTGAAGCAGCAGAACCACCTCCCGCCTGCCTGGACGGGCGGGGCCCTGGGTCTACAGGGAGGGCAACCAGAGGACCCCTGGCAGCCGAACTCGGGCTATTGGCCACCAGGACCCACAGACCCGTGGGTGGGCCAAAGCCGGGTACAGCTGTGAGTCGGCAAGACACGGAGTTTAGCCCTGGCAGGTGTGGCTCAGTGGATAGAGCGTCGGCCCGAGGATTGAAGGGTCCGGGGTTTGATTCCGGTCAAGGGCATGTACCTCCATCCCAGGCTCGATCCCTGGCCCTGGTCAGGGCGTGTGCAGGAGGCAACCAATGGATGTGTCTCTCTCTCTCTCTGTCTCTCCCCGTCCCTTCCACTCTCTAAAAACCAACGGGAAAATATCCTCGGGTGAGGATCAGCAACAACAACAACAAAGACACATAATTGATTCTTGTGCTGTTGCGTATTGATTCTGTATTGTGTTCCATACAAACACCTGGAAACCTGCTTTGCCAGCCCTGCCCAGCGAAGGGGGCAGAGAACAGAGAGACCAACCTGAGTGTGCTGGTCAAACAAGCAGAAGTCGAAAGTCAGGGGCAAGTCCCGGGCCGTGGGCGCGGGGAGCGGGCTGAGCGGAGGCTGGGT